TCTTTCTTAACTCTTCGTCTGGTCCCTCGATTGCCACGACGAACGTAGGAAGCTCGTAGGGCCCTAGGTGTTTGCGTAGGTTAGAGACGAAGCATTGATTCCGTGGCTAGGAAACGTTTTCCGACCGCTGGATAAATCAATCGCGGCGCAACCGCGGCAACGATCCCATGATCGCCGCAATTACCGTAATACACTGTTGCAACAATGTCCATTCGAAACGTTGCACGGGCCTATCTGTCCAATTTCATCTTTAGCGGTTGAGTTATGGGGAGAAAAAAGCGGGCTAATGTCTCGAACGGCTCTCGCGTGCATTATTAATCGAGCCCGGATCGGCGTAATTTTTTCCTTCTTTTTCTCTTTCAATTTCTCCTTCTCTTTTTTTCTGGCGCAGTTTTTCTCATCACTCTCATCATGCATATTTATACGGAAGGGAATCGAGGAACTCGTTCCAATGACAAAGCAATGGAAGGACTGTGCGATTCGGTTCAATTTGTTTAATACTGAAATTTGCATCGCGTACGTATCTATCGCTTCGCTTTAAAGTATTCCAAGTGGCCTGGTGTGTCCCTTGGCGGGTCTACGCACGCGGAGACGTAGGGTGCCTACCACCCGATTAGATTAATTTGACGTGACGAGAAAAGATTAATAAAATTAACTGCCGAACGCAGCTCAATGCTGTTATGTTTCGGTAGAAATTTCAACAGTTTCAGTAAACGCCTGTTTGCATGTAAAACTGTCGAAAGAGACAGAAGACACGTAACGACGAGGTGCACGATGAGAACACGAGAGGTTTAACGAAGCAAAAATTCGTAGAACACGGTACGAACGAAGAAGGAAACGAACAAGGAGAGAGAGAGAGAGAGAGAGAGAGAGAGAGAGAGTGGAGGAGCGAGAGATGCAGAGGTGTTCGCAGAGAGAAAGGGACGTTAGCTCCGCGAATATCGATTCACCCCGCGCCGGTTTTTCCTCAGCGATGGAGAACGGGTGGCGTGCATGCGCGCCGTGTATCACGTATTCATTTTTCGTCGGGTTCGTGAGGAGCTTGGGTGCGCGTCAACGTGCTCTCGGGGGCGATCGTTAAGCCTCATTATGGGGCCGATCTTTCAGCGGATAGGGAGGCAGAGCGGAAGAAAGAGAGAGGAAAAAGGAAAAGAAATAGGGGAGGAAAAATGTCAGCTCGTAAATCGTCGGCCGGGTGAAGTTTGAGTGCGTCAACATAGATCCCGTGACACGTAACCACTTTTTCGCTTTCTCGATTTTCAACGCCTCGATTTTCGATTACCACAGTCTGTGCGTGCGCTCGTTGTACTTCGTGAGCGACACGACCTCTTCTTTACAAGATAAGAGAGAGAAGAGGGAGAGAGAGTTCGAGTTGAAAAGATTATCTCGGAGAAAGGTAGTTGCGATGATCAGTAAAGATCCGATAAGTGGATCGCAGATGATAACATTAAAATGACAGGTTTCATATTTTTTATTTCATGTACCTGTACTAATTCCTAATTCAATAGAAACATGCTTAGATATAATATCGACGATTAAATATATACTATAATTAGATCAATAGATTATATACATAATAATAGATAGCTCGCAGAGATAATATTTCTGTAGATACTTGTTAAAATGATAGGTTTCACCTTTTTAATTTCTTCTTTTAATCGTTGAATATACTTGCACTAGTTTTCATCGATAGAAACATGATTACATAACCGACGATTAGATATGTAATCATTATCGATAATTAGATATGTGATATAATTTTAACACTAGATGAATGATTATATGCATATGATAATGGATTCATGGTTTGCAGAGATATGTTAAAATATTCTTGTTAAAATGATTGGTTTCACATTTTCTTCTTTTAATCGTTGAATATACCTGTACTAATTTTCATCGATAGATGATTAGATACATAATACGTTAATATTAATGATTAGATATTAATCCATTGATATTCTAATGTCTCAGTTATATAATATTACAAGTTGATACAAGATTTTTATAGAATTTAAATTACCACAACAGATGAAAAATCGATACAATTGTCGTTACAACAAGCCGACGATCGATCACGATTTAGCTGCACTCACTTGCAAAAGCAGAAATGTTTTTAACACTAGAACTACCGACGACTGAAGCATAAAATTTCCATCAGAGGCATTGAAGTCCAAGAAATAGAGAAACTTTGCAATACGATGGAGAGTATACAAGCTCTTATTTATATATTTTACAAAAACAATTATTTAAGTGTTTAAAAATACACTGTTTGACGCCTGTAAAATGTCTAACAAAAATTACAAATCGATTTGATTTGAGAGTTGTAAATTTTGTCATTTTGACAATTTTGATAGTTGCGGTGTTAAGAAATGAAATAGAAATGTGTTTTCTCCTCCACAGAGAACTTCCTTGTTTCTTATCGTCGATGAAGTTACAGACGTCATCTCTCTCGTCGCGAAGATTACGTTTCCATCGGATTATGCATTGAAGAGAGTCTGCAGTATCGATTCACTCGCGCGCGTTTCCTCTCCCCCACAATTCTCTGGCCACGCTCGCGAAAATAAAATTTATTACCGAGTAATTGCGGATTCACGACACGCCTTTTTCCACGCGGAGAGAACGCGGAAACCTATGCTAATCCGATCGAATCCTACGGGGATGGTATCTGTCCGACGTGTTGGCAAAGGCGCTTGCAAAACCATTTACGGCTTCCTCCGATGGAAATTGTCATTTATGGAGATGAAAGAGTGGGAGTCGCTTTGACTGAGCATGCCTAGGAAATCTACT